AAGAAGCTAACGGAAGTGGAATAACTATCGAAAGCCGTGGTTCTCCTCTCCGCCCTCCGGGCGGAAATTAGGGCGCGCTCGCGACCTCTCCCCGGGAACCGTCGTCCTCTCCTTTTCGACTCCTTCGTTCTTCCCACGTTTTCTCGCCGCTGCCATCCCCAGATGGGTGCGCGATTTCGCCATTAGCTAACCCTCTCATCGGTTTAAAAAGTCTGGTCCACCAACGAGTGGCCATATCCCGTATACCGATCTCGACAACTACCTAGAAACACCATCAAGGCGAGTCCTCTAAACTCATCTACGCACGCTTTAAATTCGATTTAATTAAAAATACATACAATCCTCGGTTTCCATTACACATTCGAATGCAACGAGGACGTCTCGGAATTCACACAGGGAATTTAATTGGGAAGTTAAAAACTAGCCACCTCGTCGCTGCTTCATAGACCGGAAACAAAGTGCGACTAATTCCTCCTAAACATACAGGCCGTAACCGAGTAAAAGACCTCGTCAACGAGAATTACGCCTTCCACTTTTCTTCTAATACTTCTATTGACAGTCAAAATGGCGATACCGCACCCTCGACCCAGGGTAAGCGCATGGGAGAGATTCTCTCTTCGGCTCGTCACGCTCTGTAAAACCATGTACACGGAGGGAAGCTAACATGGCGACGCGTCCGAAGCGCGCGTTGCCATGGCGACGGCGTCTCTGGGGCCGTTGCCACGGTAGCGGCGTCGCTGCCCTGGGATCCTATTCTCGAGTCGATACGATCAACTTTTGCATGCGAATCTATTCGTAGACGAGAAAAAATGCGTATAAACTTGAGAATCGGATTTCTGCCACGTGCCTTAGGAGCGGTCTCCATGACAACGGCGTCTTCGGGCCATCGCCTCGGTTACTCGTGTCCTGGGTAAGTCGACTACCTAATCACTTACTAGCTTAACCGTAATTGCCCGCTCTGACAAATGTACGATTTAAAAAACTCTTTGTCTTGCCGGAGCCGAGCTGATTGTGATTTGCAACGCAATTCCTGGCCCAATAATTTTTTATACCAATGGGCGACCTAAGAGCCGGTGGACCCTTGGAGCGAGGCTGCCACGAGCGCCCGGGAACGATCCCAGCCTGGCTCCAGGGTGACACTAGCTGTCAGGAGACGAAAAACAGCACGAGAAAGGGAAGAGAAATTCGAGAAAGTAAGGTCGCTGCAACGAAGGGTTCCGCCGTGTTCCCGATCCCGAATTTGGCCGAACTCGGCGGGAAAACGCGCTCGCGTGGACAAAGAAGGAGAAGAAAAAGATGGAGAACGGCGAGAAGATATATACGTAGGGTTCGTGCGTGGCAGCTTGAACAGTTCGGAGTTCTCCTTTCTCAATTCTCAATAGAGTGATTGTCATTAATGTTAACTATTCACGTTAGAGCTTAATAAAAAGGCGCCACTACGACCTTAAGATGCTACTGTACTATTTACCCTTATTTTTTCTGCTTTTTTTACCTTTCTGCACTTAAGAGTACCTATTCCCTTGCGTTCTACATGATCGGGTATGTGTTCTCGCGTGTTCTCAGAGTGTGCATGTATGCGAATATGTACGATTCGAGTGCTCGACGTCGGATGGCCCGTTTCGCGTCGGCCTTAAAAAAGCCTTAAGGGAACTCTAAGTTCCCTTCGAAGCCTCCTTAAACTTTCCCACTCCCTCGGAGCAGATAAGCGGCGATAACGCGAGCAGCGACAGTCGCAACTGTTGCCAAGAATTGCAACCATCACGCGGCAATTGCGACCGTTCAATTATGCCATTCTTTCTGCACCCTGCAATAAGTGCACTCCCCTCGGATCTCGACGAGTGCACGAAAAAGGGTTCTCGAATAAGAGACGATCACAAATTCCGCGGCCATTAACATAAATAAGCTGACACTCTACTTAAAAAGTCTCTTCCCGCGAATCACTCCATTGGTCCTTTCGTAACGTGAGTAATAATCTTGGTCGGTTTTCGCGAAAATTTCCGAAATTCCCCAAGTCCCATCCACGACTGTCGCCACTCGCTAATCAATTCCTTCCTCCCTCGCTTTTCCTTGGCAAGAATTCGAGAGATCGAACTCCAGGACGCTCGAAAATGGGCAGCATAAAAACGGGGACATTTATTAGATTACGTATTAAATTTGCTAAGAAAATAAGGTGAGATAAACGGCTCAAAAATTACTCCCCCATGCATAAACGGTATTCCCGCCAGTCGAACTTCACCCCGAGAGTCCGACTAATCGTAATTAATATATAATTGCAAATTAATCTCGTTCAATTCCACACAAAGACACGACTCTTAGGCAAGGTGGGCGTGTCAAGATTTAATGTATATTTCCTTAACACTTCGTCACTAAAAATCGGCAGCCCATTTTCGCCGACATCGAGCCACTCTCTTAGGTCTAACTCAAAGATACATCAATACTGATACGTGTAGCATTCATTGCGAACAATTGTTCGGTACGGCATGCCCTGACGTCGGCGGAAAACGCACCTACGCACATTGGATACACTCCAATAATTTTCCTGACCCTTCGCGTAGTCCGCAGTGTATAGTTTTTTTAGTCTTACTCGTTATTAATAAAATATAGAATATTGGGATGTAGCCATTCGTCGCACTCGAGATACACACCTGTTATATCAAATATATAAGAGATATACATATATCTATATATATACGTATACATATATATACGTATATGTATAGTACGTGCATGAACGGTGCGTCACAACGCGCGCGTTTTTTTAGGCTTGTATCCGTATGCGTGTATATATGTACGTGTGCACCTGCGAATATACATACGCATATGTATATATACATATACATACATATACATATATATTTATATATAATATATCTATATTTATATTTATATAAGATTTGTAGGCTAAACTTCGTCTACCACGTGCCGTACCCAGGCCCGAAAATCCGCGATGGCCGCCACGTGGACAAACGCCCTCCCGATTCGTTCCTCGCCGGAAGGATGTCATTTATGAATCTATAACGTCATTTCTTACATGGTTTTACGTGACAGTCCCGGTTTTAGTGTCAGTCGTTTATTTTCAAGGAAATAATCGGCTCGCACAAGACACGTAGCGACCAAAATAATTTATTAAGGCGGCATGAAAGTGGAGGCAAAGAGGGTTCATGAATCCTTTCTCCTAACTTGATGTACCGAATCGTTCCAAACTTTACAACGGGAATATGTAGGCTATAAGGAAGGTCTCGATACCCGTGAGATTTCAATTTTTTGTAAATTTATTTATGGGTATTTTTGAAATTTTTTGTAGAAATGAAATTTAAGGGTGGCAGGATCTTCGTTATAGCCTCCGTATTCATGGTGTACAGTTTGAAACTCCCTCGGACTTTCACGTCCCCTTAAACGTAGGCGAGTTTCTTGTTACATGGCTTTCACTTTGAATTATAATTCGCGGGACCTGACAAAACGGTGTCGACTGGTTGTCAAGACTTGTCAAAAGGTTCGAAAAGAGGCTCGCTGTGTCGGCAAAAATATGGCGGGGGTTGTGTTTCGGGTTGGTCAAATGATATGTGCTTCTTTTGCGTCGTTCCGTTCCGGGGAAGGCGCCTCGGCATCGGGAGTTCGGGGTCTGAATTTAAACGTGTTAACACCATTAACATGTTAACACCATGTAGCGAGCGCTGGCTATCCCAACATCTCACCTCGGCCCCCCTCAATCCAGCTAATGTTGGTCGGATCGTCCTCGAGCGATCGCCGCCCCTCGGCTCCAGAGCTGAACGCCAGCTTTCAATTGTTCCTCTGGAAGATTTGCATCCAAACTTGATACCAAACATTTCAGAAGATTCCCCATTAATTAACTTCACTTAAGGCGAAGTGAAACCCCCCTGAAACCAGTCGATTCGAATAAGATATTTCTTCTTAATCCTTTTGACATATGGGCGAAATTCATCAGCACGTGCAAGCAATATTGGACCAAACGTAGGACGCCTTTAGCAGCGCTTTTAGGTTGCCTCTCGTTGCGACTCGTGAGCACCTAAGCATTACCCTGGACTCTCAAAATTTAGATTTTAGAGAAGGAAAAGTTGAACTTAGCCTAGACCAAACCCATTCCGGTTCGTTCAATCGAAACGTTATCTGAAATTAACCAATTGCAGCTAATGGATTTTGTTCGATGGATCCTTTTTGCGTGTGGTCGCGGTTCCGGTCCTAAAAAAAGTGGTTAAAAAATTGTATAAATAATTGGGAATGCAGTTGTCGATGCAAATATTCCTGGGAGCCGGTTGGAAGGTGGGGTCAAGCCCTGATCGGCCCAGCCTCGGACACTCCTCGAGATCAACTAGATCAAATACTTGAAATAGAAATCATCGCCGGATCAAAGAGGTCCGGGAGGTGTCCAATCGCCTGGCCTCGCGTTCGACAGGCAAGAACGATCGGCAAAGACTCTTTATCTTACTTCGAGTACTATATATCTCTCTCTCTCGTTATCTCACTTTCGTCCCTCCTTAACATCCTACGCGTTTCTCCTCCCTCTTCAGGGGGAGAAAAAGCCCCCTCAAGAATACACCTCGAGCGTGGAGGAACATCCACGCGAAAACGCGAAGAATAAAACACATAGGCGCAAGAAAAGCGTACGAAATGAAATGTGGCAAGCCGAGACGAAGATGTGAAAATTCACCAGCTGTAAAATAAATAGCATCAAAGAACAGCTGTATAAATCCGGCAAGCAGTCGGTGGATTTCAACGTCTTCGTATCGGCGAATTCCTTATCCATACACGAGTACGGTGACGTCGAGTACCGAAGACCCCAACGAGCCATTCTTAGTCCACTTCTCTTATCGGAAACTAAACCTTAAAAGGGTTTAACGTTCACCCTAGTGTTCATAAAAAGGAAGAAACTCGCAGCTTCGCAGAAAAAAATCAAGGCAGGCCGCTGAGACGCGGCTCGAATGTCGGGACGCTGAGAGAGGAAGGCGGGTGAAATGAACAAAAAGAATGACACACACAAGTCGATGATAAGGCTAAGATTGGAATTAAAAAGATCGAACAAACAAATGAGTAAAGGATGTATAGATTAACGGCGATAAGAGTAATGATCGCGCGAGTAAACCTAGGGCTGTGGGCAGCGATTAATCGAGCAAGCAAGCGGGTTAAAACTTAGAACGATAATAATAAAAAAGGGAGAAATAAAGAGAATAAACGAAATATGCGAATACTTGGCGTTAATTGTTAATACTAAGGGTCTCTGTCGCGCTCGTCGAACGCAAAATATGACATACCTCGCAGACGTGTGTCTCAGTCTCTGATCTATACAGTAACTGGATAGCTGATACCTATTTGTTCTATACGAAGAGGACTTGGACGATTCAAAACACCCCAGCGCCTCTACACATGGGCAGCGATACTAAACAACTAAAAACGTGCATAAGTCTTGAACCGTCAATTCGCGAAGGTGAACACTTAAAGTATAACAGACGGAAGAGACAATTTACGTGTAAAACGTTGCGCGGGACATGTCGTAAGAAAGCTTCGACTAGAACGGTTACCTTTTTTTCACCTAAGTATTTTAATATAAATGACAATTATTCTTTTCCCAGTGAATTAAAATTTCACTCCTCTTATACTATCTACGGTCGAATTTTTGTTTTGACGCATGCGGAAATACTACGATACTGTCCATGACCAAAGAATTGTGGTTGCTTCGAAACGTCCCACCATTTTGTAGGATGACAGCTATCTAGTTATCACATAGATCAGTGGTCTCGGCTCGAGAGGGAAGCGACGACTCGAGGCTGCTCGCCGGTGTACAATTCTTGTCAACGTGTCCTCTTTTTTCTCTTTTTTTTTTCTCTCTCGCTTTCCTGAACGTTAACGTCAATGTCAATGGCTAACGGCTACGTAGTGTGCGCGTATTTTGTGTGTATATATATATTTTTTTTTCATTTTCCCGCCAGAAGACGCGACGACACGTCGCCTTGTGTACATGGAGATTCGAAAGCACAGATCCTAGACGCGAAAGACTGGCCCCTTCGCTCAGCCGGCTCGCTACTTTTTTTGTCATGCCAATGAGACGGACCCGAGGTCGTGTCAAGAGTGGACGACCACGCGATAGGTCGTCCCGGTTGACCCCTCGCTCGGGAGAATTTTTTGTCTCGTCTCCGTTCTAAAACGGTTAGCCTATTTTGGCACAAACGACGTGCCGCCCGGGTCGGCACTCGCTCCTGTTACCGATCAGCTGATCGCCTCGTCAGATTCACGCGCACTTCGAGACACGCCTCTCGAACTTCATTCTCTCTCCAAACGCGGCCCCATTCACACCTATGCGCTCATATATATATCCTCTGGTCCTGTCGCGCCTCGTGGTCGTCTTCGCACACGCGCGCCATTGCCCTGGCCTCCGTCAACTAACGTTTAATATAATTATATCATTTTTATATCATTCATATATATATATATCATTAAAATTTAATTGACTCCAACAGAATGTCGTGTCGATCAGACCAAAATGTATACAACGATTCTGCGTCACACAGGTTCGAGGTTCGCTCGATTAAACTAGGTTCTGTCTTCTCCGCATGGCTAGCCGAGAGCGCCGGCCGCGCGGTTCGTCCCGAAGGTGGCTGCGTGAAGTCGGCAACGCGATTTCCGCCGTGCGAAGTCGACCGCGTGAGGTTGGCCGCGCAAAAGTCGATCGCGCAATGTCGGCAAAGCACAGTCAACCGTGCAAGTTGGCAACGCGAAATCGACAACCCGAAGTCGGCCACGCAAAGTAGAACACGCGAAGTCGGCAACGCGAAGCTTGTCGTACGAAGTCGACCGCGCAAAGTCGGCAACACGAAATAGACCGCGCGAGAAGCGGTGCTCATTCCGAAACTCGCCAGCGGACGATCGGCGTCGGTCGACCCGCAATATCCGCCGCTGTCGGGTCGTCCCGATCCCGATCGCTGGAATACTTAAATCTTCTCTTAATACACGTAATATCTGCGTCGCTATCATCTAAGAATAATTTTATAATCGAAGAGTTATCCCTTAGTCGTGTCCGATTTTACGAAAGAAACGCTCGGTGCGTGTGCGCGGTCACTGCGCCCTGAAGTCGGTCGCGCCAACTTTCCGCCGCGTTTTCGCGATTTCACCTGAACGTGTCCCTAGCTCAACATACTAACTGAATAGCCGATGCCAATCTGCTCAGCACAGAGAGTAGTGACGAATTCAAGGCTCACAAGGAGCATCAATGGCCCGACGTTGTCTAATAAAGATGCAGAAACTTCATCGAAACGGCGCAACGTCTCCGGAATATCCGCAAAATATTACAACACTAGTCGAGATATCCGTATTCAATACTAGTCGAGGCGTTCCAGTGGCTTAAAATCGTCGCACGATTTCATGGCTATCAACTGTCCAGTTAATCCAGAGCTAACTTCATGTCCTTGATAGGGATTCTCAATCACGCGGAAAGTCAGCGCGAGTGCTCGCAGTACCGATATGTTCCGCGCTCGCTCTCGTCATATCTAGGCGCGCCCAGGGCACTTCCGACGAGAATCCCCGATTTCCGGCCAAACGGTAAGAGATATGAAGAAACCACCTCCCACGAAAATTCTTCACGAGGTTTCCCGGAACAACTTCGATAGGAGGCGTTTTTCCACCCGACGCATCATTCAGGCGGAAACCGCGGCTCCCTGATCAGGTGTCGCAAGTGCAGCTCGGCGTTGGTGCAAGGCGCTCGGCGTAACTGCTTCGTCACTTGTTTCCTCCCAGCGCCTCCCTGTCCCTAACCTACCCTCGTCTCTGCCTCTGTGCGTGCGAGTGTAATACTTATGGCTGAACCGAAAATGCATTATTAAAAAAAATTGCCCCCAAGGGGGCGAAAGTAACGCGTGCGTGCACCTCTCGCAAGCTGCCGGGGTGTCTGGGATGCTGGCTACGGACCGTCAGCCCTGGTTGTCTATTGACAGCCCTCCAAATGTCCTGCTCGAGGGACTCATCGCACATCCTTGGGAGGATCCAACGTGTCCTCGAGCTGATTGCGGAGTTGCCTGGTGCGATAGCTCGTAGCCTTATAGAAATCCTTAGACTTAACGGGGTCATCGGAGACGAGCTGCCGCGTCCCTCCTCTTCAGCGTTAATCTTGTAAAATATATATATATATATACATATTCACATATATATATGAATATATATGAATATATATGAATATATATATAATATGTATAATGTATATTGTATACGGTATATCGCGAATGTACGCGCGTGTTCGTGTTCTTGGCCACTGGCTGGCCCGTATGCGTGTGTGGTTCGTCGGTGTGTGGTCTCTGTGTGTCTCTTGAGGATCGCGGATTATCTTGGCTCTGTACAAGGAGGGCTCTCTCCAGTCCCTTTCTCGATCTCTTAGCTATACGAGTGAGAGTCCCGAGGCTGACGACCCCACCACCGGCCTTGAAGATGATCCCGCTGACCGCCGGTCAACCGACCGCTTGCTTGACGGTCGGCTGACGGTCCGATGACGGTCTCTTGACGGCCGGCGACAGCTCGTCTCGCGAGGTCGACTTCGTGCGCTGGACGAACGGATCTTGTCCTCAGGCCGGAGGCCCTCCGGATGCTGAGGCCGGACCAAATCAGTCGTACATGGCACTGGGGCACCAGTATTGGAGTAGGGCGTAGGACTGAAACCATTGTGACTCGGTTGATGGTGTCTCTTGTTAGATGCTACTCTTTGAGAAGGACACCCGCAAGTGGTTGGACTCGCTCAGCTGGTAGTTGTGCATTTTCTGAGGACGAAAACAATCGTGTTAATATCGACCCTGCTTTTACTCTCTTTCCCTGTTAACACGTTCCGTGCCACGCCGTGTACCACCCCAGGTTAACGCGTGTTATCGGTGGTACACGTGGCACGGAACGTGTTAAGGAGACGTGAAAGTCGCGTTAGAGAGGTCTCGGTTATGAAACTTTTCTCTGCACTGCGTGTACCGAATCGTTTACAAATTTACAATAAGGGTATAGAAGCTACAATAAAGGTTTCAACACCCGTGAAATTTCATTGCTTTTATTTTTTATACCAAATTTCACAAACGTCTGGAAATAAATTTTGTTTACATTGACATTTTATGGGTGACAGGACCTTCCTTACAGCCTCCATATTCACGTTGCGAGAGTTCAATCGATTTGACGCATCCGGTTCGGAGAAAAGTTTGATTAACGATTAGCTCTTCAGACTCTTCAAGCTCAAGGGACTTTAAAGTTACTCGTATATTTATATTTTTAATTTCATATTCGACTTTTCCGGCAAAACCTAACGCGGTGTCTTGTTGTATCTCTCCTCTTCGACAAAGAAGTTCGTTTAAAAATTGATAATTAATCGTTAGTTTTGTTCATTTTTCCTGGACATGAAAATGGAGGGTAATCTAATTTTCATTAAACTCACGATCAGAGCGGCGACAGCGTCGTCCATGCTGGACATTTGAATGAGTGCCATCTTCCTGTCCTTCGGGAAGAACTTGAAGGCCTTCACTGTGAAGCCATTTTTCGTGAAGGCGTCCTTGATCTCCTCCTCGGAGACGGTGGCTCTGGAATAGATAGGTTTATTTTCAATGATTTCCCCAGGACTATCTACTCCCCCGTAAATCTCCACGCTAAGAAAAAAGAATAAGTCAATCGAACCAAAGAGATATTCCTTTAATTCAAGGGATAACTGATATAACTCAAGTGAATTGTCTCATAATTCCAAAGAATCGTTGCGTCCAATGTATTCCAGTTTATTTGAGTAAAAGAATTATTTTGCCTAACTCACTGATATTTCTTTGGTACCGGTGAAGTATTTTTCTGTTACAATGATACTTTTTCTTTTTTCTTTTCTTGGTGTAACTGCTGAGGTACTCACGGAATGTTGGATAAATGCAAAGTAGAGCTCGGTGGGTAAATGTTTTGGTAGTTCTTGGAGCCGGGCTTCTTGAACCGATGAAGAGGGCTGTTTGTGTAGTCCTTGGTGAGGCCGGCGTCAGGTTGTCCTTCCTTCGGCAATTGGACCGTCTGATGTTTGCTCAGCATAACTCGAATCTGCTTGCCGAACACTCTGAGTTTGTCCATATGTGTCATAGCTGCAACGAGATTCGCGATAAGTCAATCACCAAAATCACTTCGACCGATTGCCGACATTTTCTCGACCAAAGTCGATAAAAATCCTGACTTCTTTTATTGAAATGCAAGAAAAACATTACTCTAAAAGGGGACCGACTTGAAAAGGGGCACCACAAAGTAAGAAATAATTATGTACTAACTACTTATCCACTAGCTACTACAGATTTATGAGTATTCACTGCTCGTAAAGTCTACGCGAAAAAGAAACGAAGCTTATCAATGTCGTACTGTTAAAAGGTTACTGTTAAAAGAATCGGGAAAATTAAAATAAAAAAATCGACGAATTTAATAGCGGTCCCAAGGAAACGATTTAAGCGATCTCAACCATGTTTCCAGCACGTGAATTATTTTTCTTTCATCAAAGGACTTACCCAAGTGTGCTTGGTGGGGCTCAGCCAGCTGAATGAGGGCAGAGTCCTTCTTGTTGTACAGGATCTTCACACGCTGTACATCCCCGTAAACGCCTAAGTACACACAACACGCGAAAATGACATCGTGAATCGAGGCAAACGAGGGTCCCCTAAAAGATCTACAAAAAGAGCTCCATCGAGGTCTGGGACGATTTTCGGTCGTCAATGAAATAGCCAAAAAAAATCCCATAAATAAGGAACCAAAAAATAAAAATCACTCCCAGACGGAAGATCGTCCTCGACCTCGACATCTCGAGAAATGGGCCTCGAGACATCGCGAGTAGAGCGAGAGATTCTAGAAAGATTCTCATGCACTCGAAGCGCCCGGCTCGGAGTTTCCAAAAAAAAAAAATGGGGGAAGAAATGAAAAAAAAATATGGAAAAAATCTCCATAAAATCTGCAGATCCGCCGAGCGCCTCTCGAAGGGTTTCTCCTAATGGATATAAATTAAGCAAAAGCTTATTGTATTAAAAAGTGTCGGGGGGGGGGGATATTAATAAAATATTAATCATCAACTCAGGGGAGATGCTTGGAAGGCGAAGATGTCGCACAATGCCGATGGGCTCTGCGATATGCTCGGTGATGTCGGAGATGTGTTAGGCGAAGAGGATGACGATGGCGATCTCGCGTGTAAAATGTATGTGTGTATGTATGAGCAGTTAAATAAAAAACTGAAGGAGTAAAAATAAGTGCAGGAACCGAAGCCTCGCGGCCGCGAGACCGGGACGCGGTGCATCTCGTTGCACCCTGTGCAATTAATCGATGCGCTAATTAACCCCGAGGTTACGGTAACCGAGCCGTGTAAAATCTTTCGAGTATGTAAAGGAAGGTAAACGCGAGCTGTTTTTTGAAAAAAAAATGAAAATAAAAATAATACCGAGAAGGAAATCGTCCTTCATGCCGGCAAATAAGCGCTTTCGCGGTTCGACGTTTCCTTTTCCCATGGAATTCATTTTCTCTCTTTGAGGGCGCCGCGTGTTCATATCTTAGTTCTTTTTCTTTTCTTTCTGTTTTTCCCCCGATCTTTACACTGGTCTCTGATAATGAGCCGACTGTTAGAGGTACCGACGAGGTTTACAACCCCCCAAGATCAAATTTCTCCTGTGGTGCACTGATAGCTTCGCGTTCACGGACCGGGCGTTGCTTTATCAACTGATCCTTGCAAATTGCAGTTTCGAGCTGGGCTCGGTAATTGGAGCACAAAATTGAAACCTCAACACTTGGGCATGAACGCGTCGCAGGAATGATCGATTTGAAGGTGCGATCCTCAAATCCGCATTGAAAAAGCAATGGGACTAAATTTAGGTCAATAAATATTCGACACACTGCATTTTGCCGGATTTCGTTTCAGGAGACGCTTCGATTAAGTTTCGAGTTTTCGCTCACTCGACCAAACTAGTTTGCTTCGATTGGTTAACGCTTGTTCGGTTGAATCGCTTTTGTTGATTTTAGAGGTTATTTCAGCCGATAAACCAAATATTTAGGTGGAGCGCCCCAGATTATTTTAATATTTGATGTGACCCACCGGAATGTCTGGCATGGTCGATCAATATTTATCAACTAATGGATTTTGCAATTTCAACGGAATATTTAGGATGTACGTGTAATAACTTTACTCTATAGTTGAAACAAGAAAAATTTGATAGACTCAACCAGACATTTTTCTTCAGAGATGTTAGTAGAAAGCTGCGCGTCCCATTAAATTCTTCCTATTTCATTCTTTTTCCGCGGTGTAAAAATCTAGTTCGCCGTAGTTTTTGCTTCTTTTCGATGGAAAATTGTGGAATGATAGAAAAAAGGGGGAGAAAAAAAGAAAACAAAAATATAATGTTCATAACCCTGGCGGGGTTTCGATCCCGGTCCCGGGCGGCCGCTGCGGCTTCGGTGGTAGTAGTGGTAGTAGCGGTATTGGTCAGTGTGCATAAATATAATAATTAATAATGTAATATAATTAATAATATAAATGTGGAGACGTACCAAACAGGGTAAAGAGAGCGTCAGGCGTGACCATCTACACAGAGAACAGACAGAGTCCAGTCAATAGTCAGCGAGTATAATAGGATTCGATGTACAGTATGGTGCGCACAAGATTCACGCGAGTTCCGCGCGAATTCGCCTTGTCGCTCAATAAGACTCGCTCAGACATAGGCACAACAATGTCGCCGATAATGCGTTGTCACCTTTATCCGATGATCGGACAAAAAAAAATCGTAAAAATTTCAAAGGCGACATTGTGGTACCGTCACTTCTCTGCGCCGAATCGCAGCGAGTGGCTCTGAGGGAGCGGAAGGTGCTCGAGAGGCGTTATACTCATTATCAGAAAATTAACGGAGGAGCAAGGCAGAGAGTAGAGAATAGATTCGAGAGAAATCCTGAGAAAGTTGTACGGGAAGGGGGCAGAGCAAAGGGGAAGGAAAGTTCGGGGTGAGACGAGCACTCTCCGCCTTCGTGGAGCGACAAGGGGTCTTTTTAAGAACTTACATATACTTCTTTTTTTTTTAATTATAAAAATGGCGAAATGCCCAACGTCTACGCATGTCTATAGAAAGAGGGGACAGGCAAGCCCGCGGAGATTACGGGGATATGCATTCGTGATTAGAAAGAAAGAAAAAAAAAGAAGAAATGAATTTTTTTATGTACACTCGTGAAGCTTGTGCGCGACAAAACGACAGTAGTAAACACACACAGTTGTAGTACAGTAGTGACAAGTTGCAGCTGCGAGGCGTGTGACGTCCACGCGCGATTCCAGGGATTTTTATTTTTATTAATCGCGAGTTTTTCGAGGAATATGAGATTTTCCTCCTTTTCCGTGATAACTTTTACCCGGCGCGAAATCCGTAAGTCGGATTTTTCGCAACCCCGTTCGACAGCCCCGAAAAATCTCGACCCTTTTCTTCCTTCTTTTGATTATTGAATTCCGTATAGAGCACTTATGTAACCCCTTTCAGTATGACTTGATTTTGCCTTTGAATATTAATATTTCCCCCTTTCTCTCTTTTGATTCTCTCTTCTTTATTTATATATTTCATAAACATATGTTGTAAATTTAGTGAGAGCATTGATTTTCCTAAACAATTTCACAAAATTCAAAGGTGACGTTGTAAAACTATACATTCAGTTAGAGTTCCGTAGTAAATATAAAATTCCCTTTCGAGACATGAAATGTATAATTTTTGGACAATTTTAAATACTGAAAGCGTACGAGCGTTTTACGAATGTTTTTAACAGTGCATTGATTTTACTACAAGCGTTATTTATGCACCGAAAAGAAATGTTCATTGAATAGTACCAATGAAATATTAAGGTTAATCCAAATTTGACTGAAATAAAATTTAATAAATTTCGTTCGTTTCTTCGGGACCACAACTTATTTGAGCCAACTAATTATTCTTTAAATTGAAGCTATACTTCTTTGGGAAAATGAATCTTTCCTTTATCGGCGTGCTTTTGGAAGAACAGGGTCGGTGAAATATTCTAATAATTCGAGATATCCCCACTATAAATTCTCCGCTATTTATGTCCGATTAATCCGGCGATGGCGTAGAATTTGGATTCGGCGGAGCTGCGACTGCGGTCCTCCGTGTCCGGCAATTTGGAAGTTCGAGGTTTACAGAAGAGGGTTTCCGAGTGATCACTGCAATTGCAGCTCCAGGCTCTGGCTCGACGGGGACGTCATAGTGAATTCGTACAGTGCGCGTTTCGGAATGAGGGGTGACACGATAGGGCGCATACTCATCGAGGACTCGACGTCCTCGGCGATCGATCCGAGCCTTTCGATTCCCAATAGATCGACCCGGTTATCCGATCGATCGTCCAGGATGTCCGAAACGAGGGGTTCAAAAATTGCAGGGTTTGCCTACGTAGCGCTACTATAATATTTAATATATCTCCGGAGAAATACCTCGCGTGCACATTCACCCCCGGGTCGCCTTCAGTCCTACGATTATTAAATCAAGTGAAAATTAACATAACGAGGAAATTTGGAAAAATTCATTACGAGCTGAATGTCGAACAACCCGAGCGCAAACGCACGCGATGATAGAATTACATACGTGTCATGGGACACTGTACATACGGTGCACAATTAGAGTACATCAAGGACCAGGCTACCTCCCGTTTTTCGACCCCAGATGACAATATGAATTTCAACATTCTCACAGATCAGGTCATTAAATAAAAACACCGTAAAAGCTGAATTTCTTTCGGAGAAAACTAATGTTCCCATGCCAGCATATCGGAAGTGAAACTACCTTTCTCTATTTCCATTTTATATTAAACGTTCATAGTCGAGATTATTTTTTTTTTCTGGTAAAGTACCCTACATCCAGCCTGAGAAGAAAAACTTCATCGAACCAAAGAAATATCTCGTTACATCCAAGAATATATTCCAGTTAAATAATTATTCTTTAAATTAACGGAGTACTACTTTGGTTCAATGGCATTTCTTTCACAGTGCACGACCGTAATCTGTGTGGTCGCAAAAAGGTAACAAACTTCAAGTTGTCTATTAGAAGTAGTAGAGAAATGATTTTTTTCTCCCAATAAATTTTTATTCCCGCATTTTTAAACTCAAGTGAAATCCACCGATTTGCTGTGGCATGTAAAATGTTTAATCTCCACTGTAAATGAATTTTCTTCGTACAGGGTGACAATGGAGCCAATTTTCCCGGTGCTCAATGTACTCCTGAGGAGGCCTTCCTCGAGGTCTTCCTCGAGGGTCGTCACTTACCTCCTCGTTGAGGTTGCTGACGAGAAGCACGCAGGAGGGCTGAGGGCTGCCTGGGACCCTTACCCCCAGGGCTCCAGCCCCCAGGTTGAATCCTCCTATTCCTGCCAAACTTCCAGGTGGAGCAACTCCGTTGTAAGGACCTGCCAGGGGCGATGGCAAGCCGTGCATTGCCGCAAATGGCGACGCCAGGACGCTAGATGCGCCTGCAATGGACTCTACTTCAGGAAATTCGTGAGATATTAATTATTCAGGCTAAGCAGGCTCGGATTTGCTAGAACGCTAGGACAGGTAGGGACATAGCACTCCAGGTGGAAAGGAAACAAAAAAGAAATTAAACGGAAGAAATATTTCGTTCCTTTATCAAACTCGTTAGATCGACTAACTAGGTTAACTTCCGAAAAGCGTTTCGGTTGAGCGAACCGAATTTTAACTTTACTAAATATATTATCTCGATCAGCTGATTTAGTTGAAATCGTTCTGTTGATTTTAGACAACATTTTAGACAAATGATTAGGTAAGACGCGCTAAATTACTTAAACGTTCGGCGCGATTTACCAGAATATTTTATGCGATCAACCAAACGTTACTAACTAAAGACTTTAATTCATTGAACAAAATCATCCAATTGACTGCATTTCGTTCGTTTCAAAAAACGTTTCAGTTGGGCGATTCGAATTTCAGTTCGCTCGAACGACCACTTTGTTTAGAACAACTGATTTAGTTAAATCGTTTCCTTCATTTTAGACAATATTTTAGACAAATGTTTTGGTAAAAACTGTTACGAGAATAATCGAAATTAAGCTAAGAATGTTTCGACTCTTCCATTGTTTGCGTTTCGAGGGTCACAATGGTTGGCCCTTGCGGCCCTCCTCTTGAATTTCAAGGACCTCGGGCTTGACTCGAGAGGAGAAGTCCTGTTTTACCAAAATGGCGACCACTGCAAAGCCGGCTTGTTTTATTTATCGTCATGATACCAAGGGCCGGCATTTAGCGACATTTAATTATTCCCGACACATCGTTCAACTCGATTCACATTTAACGGCGGCTGATTGATCTCTAACAGGCGTGCCAATCAATTTTTAATTCCTACTCAATGATATCGATATTCCATTGGGATGGAAGGCTGGTAGCGCTTGCAATGGATATTCTATTTCAGAGGGCGGAAAATCGAGGGGCGGGAATTTTCTGCGCTCGTTTTTGTAAAAAGCAAAGGACCTGGGTGCTGAGGTTTCGAGAATAAATGCATTTACTCGGGGGAATAATACAAAACAAAATGGCGGCGCTGAAGAAATAGGAGGAGCGCAAGCGGGGGTATTTTGAGGGAGAAAAATCATTTTGGGGAGGGTGGAAGGTAATTTGCAGGTGTGTAGGCTTGGTACAGATCTAAGATGTGCTTGTTCAAAATGGCGTAATTGCGACGCGAGGTGAGACAAAGGACTGTCATGCGGAGTGTCCTGTTGATCTCTAATCAGGGTTCGAGGAAACGCGCTGATAAGGTACTTGCTGCGAGCCACTTTGTAGAAGTAGAGGTGAGGCTTCGAGTCTCGACAAACGTTGAGTAAGAGTCGCGGATGTAGACGACAATGAAAATTTGGAAAAGAACCTCCGGGGCCCCGTCCTAACGCGAGACCACCCTCCTGCGACCCTCGGAACCACCCGAGAGAAACGCACAATTTTCGGCTCACCCGATCGTGGGATTAAAAACCACCCCCTACAAGACTTCCTCCTCCCTTTATAACGCACAATATTCACAGGAGACATTTTTCCATAACTCGCGTCGTTTAGCCACAAATCCCCACGCAAGTGGAGAGCGCATTTCGCGGTCCAACTGGCCATGATAACCGAACGGCACCTGCGGTACAAACGCGTTTTTCTCGTTGAAATATTTAGAACAAAATAGCGGGACTCTATTTCCCTGTCTAACGAAGCGCGGAAACCGCTTTTGACGGAGAGCATTTCGTGGGATTTATTGTTTTGTGACTGTTATATGGCAATTCTCTGTCACGAGTCTGCCTGTTGTGCGTCCTCTGGTTTTCCACTTTTGGACCCCGTACTTTTTACTTCCCTCTGTGTTCTTCGGTTTGCTCTTTTTTTTTTCTCTCTTTTTCTTATTCCTCGACTTCGTTTTCCACGTAGGAAGAGGCCCCGTAAAGTCGTATAACGTGGCGATTCGGCTAGGAATGCCTTCCCGAGAGGAGACCGCAAGACTCACCGGGTATTCTAGCCCGTGGCTGGGTGCCAGCAGCACCCAGAAGAAGCTGCGGAAGAAGCTCACCTCCTAGAGCGAGCGACGCCGCGTCCAAGTTCGCGTCGCCCGTGGGAAGAGTCGGGTTCGTGTAGTCCCTGGACTTGTCGTTGTTGTACTTGACGTTCAGGCTCTGCATCTTGCTGTAGTCGATGCGCAAGGTGCAGCACGAGTTGTAGATGTTTTGCCCGTCCAGCGACTGAAAGGCAGAAAAGATTTGCAACTCCAGAAGAACAAACTTTAACCAATCACACTTCCGATCGATTCTACAACGATTCAAAAGCCTCCAGGCAACGGTTAATAAATAAAAAAAAAATAATTCAAGCTCGTCAACCAATTCGCTCTAAATTTATAAGTTAATTTAAATTAATTACCGCGAGAGAAACAAACGAGCTCGTATCAATGAAACCTTCCGACACTTGCATTTTACTTCTGTATTAACTCAAAACCCTTCATGTGACAATATTCGATGAGAATAAGATAATTTAGAAAGCTAATTAATTTCACTCGGCAAATTTATTCTAAACTTTCGGATTAATCCCTGCATTAACAACATCGTTAATAACCCTTTGCGGTCGATGCCGCCGCAATGGCGGCATGATGTCATTACTCCCTCAATGGTGGAGAAAATGATTTTTTTGGGGCATAGAGATGTGCGTCATGTGGTAAATTTGCTCCGACTAGTTGGTACTTCCAAAGGGTTAAAGAATACATTTATTTAGACCCTATCCGGAGGTATGCAGAAAAATGAAAAAATAAAGTCTCAGGCGATTTGTTTGAATTTTGGACCTCTGTTTGGTCATTTGTTGGCAATGGTTTTTACACGTTCTGGCGACATCGCGGACTACAGTCACAGGGGTCCGAAACGATTATGCCGTTGAATGTTTATCAGTCGGCAGTAGCCCGTAGTACGCGCAGTTTGGTTTCCATTAATAACCCGGTTTACCGGTGTAGCATAATAGCGCGGGTTATCGGAGCGCGCTCGGCGTTTCCACGGCGAGGTGGTTCGTTTGACTCGCGTCCCCGACAGGGCGCGTTTTCATGGCTGCGAAATGCCGGCCGAAATTGTCAGAGCGAGCGAGAGGCGTCCGCCCCGACAATTTTGGTAATTACGGCACGGCCGGATCGCCTGAATTCCCGGGCCGAAGGAAAGTCAAAAGGCGCGCCTCCGCGCGCCGCGCAAAGGGCCGCCATATTGGAATCGCGTCGGCGGCGGAAGGAAAAAACATCATCGATTTATGACAAACTTACCCTACATCGAGTTCCCCGTATTAGCTTACCACGTTCGCCTCTCCCTTCTCAACATATATTTCTATCAACCGCAATTTTCTAGCAATCGAAACAATTTATAATGATTTTTTCACGCGACGCGAAGGGCCGCCATATTGGATGCGTTGGTATCGAAGAAAAAGGTCACGTCAATTGATAATAAATCCAAACCTACCGAACCAAAATCGTGTTCTCCTAAATGGCCTAACCCTATTTCACTCCTTTCTTGTTTTTTAAATATTTCTGGGGCGAGATTCAACTTTTCAGTGCGTGAAATCATTTATAATCAGTTTTTCACGGGTGGCGTCGCCTCAGAGCGAGGCGATCTAAACGAGGCTCGAACGTTTTAAACGTGATTCGAGCTCACCGGAGAGCAAGTCCAGGGATTATCCGGCTAAATAGCGGGCGAACGTGCGAAGGCACATAATTTTCTTACACGTGGAAAAATAAACCGGGGGAAGCGATGCCTCATTTCCCGTAAACCGAAGCGGCTTGGCGGGATATCAGCGGCGCGGTATCGGCGTCATTAGAGCGTCGCTTTTCCGCCGTTATCCGAAAAGCACGGCCGTAGGAAGCGTAATTATCGTTAATATCTCTAAACATTCCCTCCCGGGATTATTTCCCCTGTCTAACATCCCGCGTTAACATCCTCACTTTTCCGATCGCCATTTCCAAAATTCAAACAAATTCGACCGGCTCGGAAACTCCATAACACGTTCCACCGCGAGGGAGTAAACGCAGTTTCCGACAATTGAGTGAATGTCCCGTGAAAAACAAGGAAAAACATTTATTAAAAAAAAAAAAGAAAGGAGGATAAAAACTCCGCGAAATGAAATTTCCAAACACCGCCCGCCCGGGACGGGTCGATTTCATTTCCCCGCACGTTCCGTCATATTACTGGCAACTTTTTATACAAATTTGTATACGAAAATTATTTATAACGCGTAACACACACACGGCTATTATTTTATGACAAAAATGGGAGAATAAAATAATTGGTACTCACGAATTTAGCAGTCTGTGCTGATAGCATGTCCGGGTATTGTATCAGTGCCTGGAAGGAACCTGGAAGAAGGGTTACGGTTTAAGGGGATATGAAAGTGACTTCTGCAGAGTCAATTGTTCATGACAACTTTCTTCCGTGCCGGATAAACCGAATCGTTTCAAACTTTACAACATGAATACGGGGGCTATAAGGAAGGTCCCGACACCCATGAAATTTCATTTTTAATAAAAAATTTTTAAAAACCATAAACAAATTTTCAAACGATTCAAATTTCGCCGGTGGGGGGACTTTCCTTATATTCGCATATGGCCTTCATATTCGCATTGTTAAATTTCAATCCATTCGGCTTAGAGAAGAGATCGATTAAACGAGACCTCTTTGACTCCACTTTCACCATCACTTTAATATTAAATTATAGAAAAATCCAGCTTATCGGGGACCCCTGGGGGGAGTGTCACCCCCTCGCTAAATCCTCGGCCTCGGGTTTAATACCACGTCGAGGGCGCGGTACTTCGCACCTGTGCGAATAAGAAAATTACCCCGTCGCCAATTTGCAACTTGGTTTATCGCCGCGTTCGCGGAATTTCATCGGGGGTGGCGGCAAGGCGAGGGGTGGTTTCAGGGAACGCGAGAGCGAGAATTGTTTCGAGGATAATGTGCTTGCCGCATGGATTTACGAGGCGATTGAGTCCCTTTAACGTGCGACGTGTACTCGCGATAACTTCGCGACGAAAAGGCGAACGCAACCCTTGCAGTACGGGGGGAGGGGGCAGGGGGGCGTTTTATTTGACATCGCGCCGACGAAACCCACCCCGAAGGCAATTAACGTCATTACGTTCACCGGCAAAGCGCAAATGATGGGCGATAATTCCCGAAATGGCTCGAGCTCGAATTTACAAGAGTTAAAAAAGATATTAATTAATTAATTCCCGACAGTCTGATCTTCTGATACTTCCCCTGCCCCATTTGAACACGGAAGACCTCCATTTTAGAGCAGTTAGACTTGCATTCTTGCACAAAAAGGTATACCAGTAAAGGTATCAGAAAATCAATTAACGAAATATCTTTTCTACGTGATGTAATTGCAAGAAACAATTATTCCGTTGGCAGGGAAAATGGTCGTTGTCGATTCAAAGGGACTTCGTTCAATCTGCCATCTCTTCGACCGTATTCGACATTTTTAATATTTTTCTCCGTGCGTATAAGAAAAATTGGAGAGCATTATTGAATGTTTTTTTTCTCTTCTTATTGGCTATTACATTGTGACTAAATAAATGTAGAGCTCTTTTTTTTGTGACTCTCATGGAGGGGGACCACGACAAGGACGATAAGGGCGATAAAGTCGACACGCGGGAGACGAGACCAGGAACCGGAAGAGGCCCCTGGTCCCGAATAAGTTCCAGTCTTTCCACTTCCGGTATCGCGGGGGTAAGGATAACCCGGAAGAGCTCGGAGAGCTTGCGACAAAATCGAACGGGTTACGAGCTGCAGAAGACCGTAAAGTTTCCTGCAAATGCACCCCTGAGGAAAGGGGGTTGCGTCCACGTGCATTTCCGGGGTGCCCCGGCGATATCGGAACGCGGTTACGGCATCCCCGTGTTTACGGTGTTTACGGTGGGGTTGGGGTCCGGGGGAAGCATCTTACTGTACTCCCTATCCCTGGGTACCAGACTGTGTACTCCTCTGTACTTACTGTTCTTCGTAAAAGTGACGATCTTCAGGACCTTTCCGAAGCGCGTGAATATCTGAAAGCAGAAAATAAGCGTCACCTTAAGATAAGATTTTGATAAGAGGAATTTCAGGTTTGAAAGATTGTTCCCCTCCCCCTCACCTTCAGAGTACTTACACCGAGTAAACTATTTCATTGAACCAAGGTAATGTATTGGGTAAACTGAGTGCACCGAATAATTTGAAACTGCAACGCGTGATTGTGGAGGTCCTAACGAAGGTCTTGAAACTTGTGAAATTTGATTTTTACGAAACAAAAAATGTATTTATAGAGGAACAGGAACTCAGAGAACATTTTTTTCTTTCGGTCGAAAAATGATATCTCATGAGGTTCAGGACCTTTATTGGGACCTCCATGATTACGTATTAGTTTCAAATTATTCGGCTTATCCAGCTTGGGGAAAATTTTTGTAAATATTGCAGTTTGACGTTTTGATACATATTGAATGATCCTTTCATATCGCCTTAACGCGTTCTCGAATCCAGTGAACCGCGTCGGCGGATTTACCTATCGAATTTATACGTGCCGAAGTTGCAAATCATCGGGCCGGCGCAAAGGGAAAGTGGCAAACGGGGGGAAATCAATCGGGGAAACGATATCGCTGATGTAACCCGACAATGATACGGTTAACGTTAACGGGATGACGCGAATCGGGAGCGCAAGTATTCGCCTGGAACCCGAAACGGGGTATGCGAATCCGAATTGCAAAATCTATGCACCCGCGGGTGCGCCGTAGCAAAACGATTCGCAAATAGCCCGATGCGTTCTTCGAGATCAAAGCCGTGCCGACTTTGCGAGACGGGTATTATCGGGCATCTCGGATCTCCTTCCACTTTTATTTACTTACTTCCTTACTATAAAAATCGTTTAGGAAGGAAGGTACACTGAGGGAAAAAAAAAAAGAGTCATGAACCGAAGAGAAATATTTCCCTAAACATTACCAAAGAAGTATCTCGTCAATTTACAGAGTAATTACTTGTCCGAAATAATTATTCCTTGAATTAGTAAAATATTTCTTTGATTCAACGACACTATTTTTTGTTTTTCTCCTCAGTGCACGTAAATTGAAAAGGTATAATGTTGGCTGGGTAGAATTGCAAGTGAAAAATTTCTCAAGGGAGGGAGGGAAGAAAAAATTGCAAAATGGAAATTCTCTGTCCTATGTAATTCTTCCTCGTTCAGCAATTGATATCCTTATCCCTGATAAGTGGGCCTCCCCTAATTGCTCCCGATAACGGGGAAGGATTTGCGGTTCGGATATGCTCGATCTCTCAATTTGAGAAACGCGATCGCCGGACTCGGCGAATCGGGGCCGGCCTTTTATTTGCGGAATTCACGGGCACGGCCCAATTACCCGGCGCCATCTTAATTGACGAGAGTGTAAATAACGCCGTCCATTAGCGTTATTGCCGATTATCGAGGCAAATATTGTCCCCGACTCGGCGGACCCGAAATTCAAACGATCCCTCTCTCGGACGAGACTTCGATTCGAGTCGCTTAGGTGTGCGACTCCGCGCCCCCCCTCGAAGCTGCACCACAGGTGCATCGTAACCGCGAGATGCAGCTCCGCAACTTTTCCGAGCTCGTTAAACTTGCGTTCCCGACTGGAACTGCGGCCGAGTAGAAAATGACACCCGTCAAAAAGAACGAGGCCAAGATGGGTCCCGGCAAAATGGCGACTTAATGGGGAAACGATGCACTCCTTCCGAGTCAAACGAGGAAACGACGCTTTTCCTCCCCTAATTCGTTTCCCTTGGGAAAAAAAAAAAATTACCCCAGAATCGAGTGAGGGTAAGAGCAAAGAAAATTCGTTCAGACATACGATATGATTTTCCTTCTCGACGGAACAATTGTTTCGTTGCAATGATATATACCTCGGCCAACAATGGGAAAACTATGAAGTAATAATGAATAAAATAGCGAGATATAAAATTTCACCTCTCGAGAATTCCCTGGAAAGCGGGGAAATATTCTCCCTCTTCCCTCATGAATTTCGGAACGGGAAGAAAAATAAATGAAACGTGAAATGCCATTTAGCTTTTGGAGAAGCATGGAAAATGAAGAGACGTTCTTATTTTTTCTATCCTCGGGATTTCGAGCCTTGAAAGTCACGAATAGTAACGAGAGAAAAAATATGAAATACTGTTTCTCGGCTCTTGAAAACTCGTGGAAGGTAATGAGATGCTTACATGGCTTTCTTTGAGTTATACAATGGAGAGGATTGTATTGAGATTACGGCCACGTGAATGAAGTAGGAATAAATAAAATTTAAAGCGACAGGTGTAGGGCGTTGGAGCTCTTTCAGTGCGAAGGGGCTTTACAAGGGATTACGTGAAATGGCTGCAATGATTTTTAACCCGTGTTTAGCAGGTGGATAAGCATTTACATGGCGCAGGGTGCACTCGAAATCGCATTGGTCACCATTACGAGTTCCATTAGCGAGGCTGGGCGGAAGAGGCCCGCCACCCATGGACGGACGCCATGCCATGGTCGACCACGCGCGCCCATGGGGCCGGGCTGGAACCGATAATTGAACATGCGAATTAATAACTGTTACATCAATCAATAACACCGACGAGCGTAATCCCTGGACACGGGCCCGAGACTCCCCTGGGAAAGATGGGCCGATGTCCGACAACCGGTCACCCCTGTGGATCTGTATCGAGTGAGTTTTATTTCCTGGCCGGAATTTATCGGGAACTATCGCCTATAGATTTCCGAATCGACATCTCGGTCATGTCATGAAATCGGGAAAAAATTACTATGAACCTTAGCGACATGAATTCGTTCATTCACGAGGCGGTTGAAACGTTCACAAAATCCCGACAATTTCCTCCGCGCTCTGTATCATGTTATTATATATTGTAATATCGAGAATTCATGAATGAAATGGTAACGCAGAGTATTATGGCATTATTTTACCGTACAAAGATGATTTCTACCCTAGGAACATATTCCGTATTGCGGCCGTTATCCGGCTTATGGGGAACTCCCGAGGGAGGCGACAGGGTGGAGGGAACGCCGAGTGGCCGAAGACAGGACCCGGCAAAAGGACGGGAGGATAAAGTCGAGCAAATAAAATATTAGCGATAGTTCGAGCCGGTCCCCTGCACACGCGTGCAATCGCGTGCACACGCACGTCCGTGTGCGAGGGGCTGATTTCCCGCGGGATTCGATGCGAAAGTACACTCGAAAAGGGGAGAAAACCGCAGCTCGAATACCGATATCGGCCCTAAGGCGTCCCATGAACTCGACATAGACCCCCTTTATATGAAATCTGAGCCGAACTTGAGGGCACTTTTCCAACCAAGCCTTCGCCCACTCCTTTCGTGTGCGGAAAAGGTCTCTTGACAAAAATCAAGGCCCGAGAAAAATTCCAAAGGAAATTCACCGAGTCTAATCGTCATAACTGAATCGACCAAACGTGCACTTTTTTTTCTTTTCTTATTAAGACTCGAGCAGAAAAAAGCCCTATGAAATATTTTCTGGATAAGAATTGAGGCGTTAACAAAGGCTTCCCTAAGAAATTCCAGCGAGTCTGAGTGCCAGAAAATCTTTGGGCGAAAAGTGAAGGATAGAAAAATTCTAACTTGGCCAGTCGGTAGGGTTAAGGTGATATGAAAGTGTCGTCGGATATCTTGTTCATGAAACTTTTTATCGAATTGGGTGATCCGAATCGTTTCAAACTTCACAGGGAGAATATGAAGGACATAAGGAAGGTCCCGGCATCCACGAAATTTTAATTCCATTCGAATTTATTTCTAGACATTTACAAAATGTTTAAACAATGATATTTTATGGGTGTCAGGATTTTCCTTATAGCCTCCATAATCACGTTGCAATGTTTGAAACGATTCGGGAAACTCAGTGTGGAGAAATTTTCGGGAACGATTAACCCCTCAAACGCTACTTTTACATCCCCTTAAGGACGATGAGAAATGCATTTTTATATTTCAAGAACCGTAAAAGAAAATTAAAAAACGTCGGCATGTTCGTCGCTGGGATGAAGTTGAAATGAAACGTGTGTTTTTTTGTGTACAATTTTTTTTTTAAGACAAGGGAAGCAGGAAAAAATAACAATTCGGGGTGTCCGTTGACCTTTCCGACCGAGGGGGTGAAAAAAGACTACAACGCAACAACGTAGGGCAACCCTTTCGGTATTTACGGACTACCCCTGCAAATCCTCCGGCACGCTCGATTCGTCGGAAAAAGTGTTTTTACACCGTCGAGTCGACGCGTTAAACCCGCTGTTTTTTCCCCGAAAAAAAAAAAAGAAGAAAAAAGAAAAACATTTCCAACGCACCCCCGACGAGGGTGGAGGGCAATCCGGTTTTCATAGTCGGGCGCTGCGGCGCTTGTCGCATAAAGGGGCGGTTTTTCTATTGATGACGACGAATGTACCAGAGGTCCCTTTCAACCCTCGGAAAATGGAATACAAAGGGCGAATCTTAGAGCCACCCCGAATCCATCCTCTATTCAAAAACCAACGACACACCCCAAAGAACTCTTATCGACCTTTCCACCCTCGGCATTCGGCATTAACGATTTAACGTCGGTTTCCTGGCCAATCACTGAAATTTGCATACTTTGAAAAGGAATAGAATTCCTTACGCCGGCAAATAGATAAATAATGCCGAGATTCTGGGAAATCAATGAAATTTGCACATTTAGAAAAGGACAAGAATATGTACATTGGAAGTAATGCCGAATGCCTTTGACAATTGAATGAAATTTTTTGGAAAAAAAAAAAAGAAAAATAGATTTGAATAAAAAAGGGAAGTGGTTCGAGGGTACTGAATATTTTCACCGAGGCTGATATTTTCGGGGAAATTTCCTCGATTTTCCGGGAAATTTAACTCTGGAATTGAGGGATGATTTAACAGGTTTTTGATATTGCCTTTTTTTTTATGGCATTCCGAATTTTTTTTATTGCTATTTAGGCGGATCGGGGATTATTAATGTCGTTTTTTCGGGATGGCTGGCGAGGCACGGACGCAGGGATGAATTTTATTAATGCGAAATCGCGTCGCCGGGGTGAATTGAAACGCTCATAAACGATCCTCGGTACCCGCGAGCCATTTTGCCGTGGCATCGTTTGCATTCCTGCCTGCAGTAAAAAATGAGATCCCCGAAAAGGGTTCACTCGTTTAGTGCGCCGGTCGGTGGACACGTAAATTGCACTTAATGCTCCTGGCCCAATGCACGTATTCGCCGTGCCAATTTCGACTCACCGAAATACGTGTAATTCGAGGCTTAATGCGATCATAGCCGAAAAATTGTCCCTTGTTTAAAAATAAGCGAGGTATGAATTAAAACTCAGAAATGAAAATAACTAGTGATGAAAAATCCAGAAAAATAACTCGAGCCTTAATTCCTGGTCGACAAAAAAAATCCGCAAAGTATGAATTAAACTTCAATAATGAACATGTAAAAGTAGTACTAAATGAAAGTGTTGTAATTAAAACGTTAACAAGAGATGTAAATCGCTTTACTAGAGGAAGGAAAGGCGCGATTGATCGAGGGATGACTTTTGGAAGTGGAATTCGGAGTGGGGAAAGACACCCCTCGAGTTTACTTTGATGTTAAGTCTTGACACTTGGGGCAGCGAGAGAAAAGCAAGGAGTGGCATTGCGTGTACACATGTCCACCCCTGTGAACAGGGGCGTGCATAAATAAACGTCTAGTTTGTATGAAAAGGGATGAAAAGGAAAAAAGAACGAGGGAATCGAAACATTGGGGAGGGTCCGTCCGTTCTTGGGGTGCATTCATTAATCACCCGGAAGGGGATAAAAAAGGAGTGATTAAAATTCCCCGATTAATTCACCCCCCCCCCCTATGTACCTGTTTCCCCTTTGAATTCTCACATTACCCCATTTCCGTAACTTCATGAAAAACACGAAAGTATGTAAAAACGCAGGATTTTCTGCAGCTCTGAAATTCCCACCCCTTAGGGGAGGATGTCTTTAGATTTAAGTTTCTTCGGAATGAGGAATATTTAAAAGTCGTAGGTTAGGTTGACGTCGAGAACTGAACCTTTGGTAGAGCAAATTGGAAATTGGCCCCCTGGGTTTCAGGGATGGGCATTTCGGGCGTGCAAGACCTACCCCAAGGCCTCGGTACTCAACAAGGCTTGTTTAAGCCCGCTTATGCAAGTGGCGCACACGGGGGAGGGTGGAAGACCACCCATTGGGGTGGTCCTGCTAATCGGGGGACGTTTTCTGCCCCGTCCATTAACGGCTTACCTCCCTTATTCCTCCTAATCCGCGGAATTTCGCTCTCGTGTGTCAGTACATGAAATAATGCCGGACACACTTGCTGACACATGAGTACACGCGAATCCGCCTCCACATTTTGTAATTACTCATTTCTCGGTTTTCCGGAACCTCCTCTGAAAAGATGTCGCGCGATCCTTAATACCCTTTTCGTAATCATTAAATATCCAACGCGGAATGAGGTATTGTCACTGTACGATGCAGATTTACCCATTTCATCCCCTCTGATTTGTCGATGTGAAGGGGTTCATTTCAATATCGCATCGATTTTAAATTCACCGTTTGCGGGAATATTCATTTCGGAGCCGGGGACATCCGATGGAATTAATTGTTTTGATAACCGAGGTGATAAACGAAATAAAAAGTGGGTGTTACCTGGAATCGAACCTGCCTCGATTAAGATTATCTCCCGACGAATGTGGAATAAAAGTATCGAAACGGAACAAAACGGAGGCAAGGTTTCTGCCTCTACGTCGTTTTTTAGCTTTTCTGGTTTCCCGAGAACTCCTTTAAAAAATGTCACGTGGTCGAGGGACCCGTATATACCCTTTCCGTAATTTTCAAAAATTCAGAGCAACGAGCTGCTCATTGCACCATGCAAATTAATTCCTATCTCGCGGTATGTATACAAAAATCAGATTCCTCGATTTATCGACGCGGAAATATCCACTTTAAATTCGCATCGATTTTACATTCACCATCTGCGGGAATATTCATTTCAGAGATGCGGATATGCGATGGAATTAATTGTTTCGATAATAGAAGTGATGAAGACAGAAAGGAAAAAAATCAGTGATTCTGCCCGAAATGGAACTTGATCTCTTATTTTCTATTTCCCTCTTCTCTAAAAAATATCACATTACCAGGGGACCCTAAAATAACTTTTTCGAAATTTTAAAAAATTCAGTGTGCATATAAGTAGTCTCACTGTACAATGCAGATTTATTTGATATTCTCGCTTTAGGTATATGAAAGTCAGATTCCCCGATTTATCGTTGCGAATCATTTACATTAAGCTCGCATCGATTTTAAATTCACCATGCGTTGAATTAATTGTTTCGATAATAGAAGGGGTTAAAGAAAAAAAAAAAAAAAATGGTCCTGCCTGGGATCGAACCCAATTCTCCGACGAGAGAGTTCCTCGTGTCGAGCTCGAGATGAATATTTTGAAACTATGCATCGAGAGGGGGGGAGTAGACGATAAATGTTGGAATATTTGGCAACTCCGACGAGTTTTGCCAAACTAGCCTGCAGGGGGGATTATTCCCTCAGTGCACGAGCAATAATGCAGGTAATCTACAAGTGTAGCGTACAGGAATAACAATTAAACTTGCGCGCTCGTGACGTCAGTAGGTACTCGGTAAATATAACCGGTTTATGTTTGCCAAAGAACGTTGCTCGCACAATAGCCAGGATATTCTCTCAAGTTATGTAGCGATTTCGAACAGTGGACATTCCGTCCTCGTAAGCACTGAGGGGGTGAATTTTCACCCTCGTACGGTGGATTTAAGCGCCGCTTAAACGCTTAATCGAGGAGAGTCACTTGATACGACTTAAACAATTTCTGCCTAAGAGTATTCCATACGTAAATTAAAATTGACAGGATATCGTGGCCTTAATTATTTAATCCTTCCTGTACATCCAATGGAACGTTCGATACCTCAATAATATTATTAACGATATTTCCAATATTTTAGAGAGAACTTCCGAAAAATCCACCCCACATTTCTCGCCCCGTCCAATTTAATTCATTATTCGCCGACACTAAAAGCGACCTAAGACACCCGCGAAATTACGAGCCACCCCTTTCGAGGCATAAACGCAGTAAATATGCGTGCACATCCACGTTACGGTACACTGTCTCATCCCTTCACATAAGGGATGCTCTCAAGGTGCCACCCTGAGGTCGTGTCCGGAATTGCGCCCTTTAATGGGCGTCGAAGCCGTCATGAAGATCCGCCAGGGTGCGCGAAGACGCCTAACACCACTTCCGGTTCTCATTTGCGCGAGTGCGTTCACTGCCGGCGCATTTTCGCGCACTTTGCACCCCGTGTATGGTTCAGGGGGTTCGAATGGTTCGCAAAGTTGCGCAGCGCTTATGGGGGGTTATGTACCTCTTGGAGCACAGAAACGAGCAAGCGCTTTCCAGCCATGTATTTTGAGAAAGTATATATATATATCTCTATATGCGTGTGTTACGTACTTTGGGAGGATACGTATACAACTCTGTACGCGGGTGTTAGATGTACCAGACACGTGTATGCATATGTACGTACGTATGTACATATGTGTACACATATGCTCTCGAGTACAGCGTCGGGCTCGGGCGCCCTAAAAAATGCACAGGCCACTCAACTCGAACCGGAAGCACTCCCGTTATCCCGTTATTTCATTATTCCGTTATTCTGCACCCCCTGGGATCGTCGTAGCCACCCCCTAATGACGACCACGACGCCTGATAGTAACGAGCCCTGCTCCCCTTATCACCCCTGACGCCACGTTCGATCATACCTTGTCTTCCCTTGTCACCGGTTTTTTCCTAACCTCCCCGAAATTTTGCAAAGTATTTACTCTTAATAATAATAAATAATTAAGAATAATAATAAAGTATTTACTGATAATAACGAGCCCTGCTCTCCTTATCACCCCTGATGCTACGTTCGATCATACCTTGTCTTCCCTTGTCATGGGTTTTTTTTTTACTAACCTCCCCGAAATTTTGCAAAGTATTTACTCCAGATAGGAGATTTATTATACTGGATTTATCATAGAGGAATATTGGTTATCAGGGGTGTTAAACAACCTTACCTGGTATAGAATGTCCAGGGAGATGGGGTAGATCATGTGCTCGATTATTACCCTGAGGACTGTGTTGGGCCCACCCTGAGTCTCGTTACCTTGCACCTGCCCTTGGCCTTGAGTCGGCTGCAGAGCTGTCTGTGCATTCGAGTTCTGCAAAAGATCAGAGATGGAATTAATTAATCTAAAAATAAATGAGAGATTATTCTCTTTTACAATATGTGACACTTAATGTCAAGATTTAAACGCCTGCTTGAATTTAGCGTTCGCAGGGGCTGAAATCCCTCGTAAAAGGTAACGAATAAATAATAGTAAAAGAAAAAAAAAGTGAATACTAATTTCCGATGTAACTCCGGTATTTGCATTTGCGTTTCGCTAAATGGCACGCGTCCAATTACGAGAAAAGGTCCCGGGTCCAGAGCGACGCGGCCGAACAAATGCATTTCCTGTGACATCCTTTAACGTGATATCCTATGCAAAAGTACATCTCCAGGTAGAAAATCAGCATATCGTTACACGGTCCGGGGGTAACTTTTAATATTGCGCCTATCGGTGGGAGTCGGCATTGAAATGAAACCGTGGAACTGCGCTCCGGCGTTTACGGTTGCATATCATTGCGTTGGCTGTCACGCCGCGAGATGAGACACCCGCGGGCTGTAGAAAAACGAAGTAAATTACACGTGCAACCGGACCCCCCCTATTAATGCACCTGCTTCTCGATTTACTCATCCCCGGATATTTCGCGATCCCGATTTACTCGATCCCGGGGGATTTTCGCGTAGCCCTCGAAAAGAAAAAAAAAAGGAGTGCACCAGATTTTGAGGCAACCCGCTCGAGGGACCCGCGGCCCGAAAAGTGCAAAACCACCCCTCAAACTTTCCATACGAATTTTCGCCACACTTGCAGATCCTTTCTCCCCCACCCGAATATAATGCAAAGGTGTCGCCAAATATAAATGGGCGATTAAAAAAGGACCCTCGTATCGAGGGATGAATTCTAATAATCTCAAAGGGTGCATCGGACGCGTCGCGCTTTTTATTGCCGAATTTTCTACCGCGCGGTAAAGTGTATTTTTTTCTCTCCTTTCAGAAATTCCTGAGAGATGTTAACCCTTTTTACTCCTTCGCCGAGTGTGATTCGACATCAGCAATCGATATCTCAATAATTGGGAGTGCAGAGGGTCGAAATGACAAATGGGCACTCGGAAGAAGTCCCGAAAAAGAGGGCCGCCCGGTCAAAGTGTCGGCCCATAAAGGCCGGGAAAAAACAATACAGTCATTTCGAAATGAACGCAATGCCAGGACCGTTTATGCAAACGGAACGGCGATTTCAAACTGAATTACCGGAGCACGCCGCGCCCGCCGCTCCAAAGCCCACCCGGGCGGGAATATATCGGAGTGGGCGGCCGTTTAATGGTATTGTTTTCGTTGGGTGCGACGTCCAATTCCGAGCTTCTGAATTTTTAATCCGACAATACGCGAAATGGCGGCTCGCCTCCCCCCATCCCCCGCCCCCCATAGGTGCGCCGATTAATATTGAAATTCAATTAGCAAACTCGCGCTGCCCCTTTTGACGCCCCCGCCCTCCTTAAGGAAGGTTAGCGTCCCGGCGGGAAATGAATTTCCGCAATTAAAGAACTTTCCCCAGCGGGGGGAGACATTTAATTTCATTGTCTCCTTTCATGTCACGTTACGGCACGTTCCGTCATATTCCGTCACGACACGGCACGGCACGTTACGTTACATACAATTGTTCTTGTTCAGAAGCTTAGGAAGATTAACCCAAGCTTTAAGTTCGATACGAATCGCGTTTCCTCGATTGCCTTCCACATTCAACGGCGTTACGATTCGAGGAGGGTAGAAGAGCGTAGAAAGGGGTGGGTTTAGCAAAAGCACCCCCCGCGTTTCCCCCTTTGATGGGTCCTTTTGGATTCGCGATTGTTATGCGCAGGGCCGGTGTGCATCGTGCGCGCGCGCGATTTCCTTGCAAGCTGCGGAGGGCTTTTAACGAGGCTTCCGAAATGCGCGCACCAGGAGCGCCGTTTTCTTTTTTCCTTTACGCGATCCCTGCCTCCCCCCGCCCGTAATTGCGACGTAAACTTTGGAGTTTACGCCCCGAGGTTTACGCGGCCTCCCGGCCCGAAAAAGCCCTTCGAGCTTTCGTCGGAGCCCCGGAAGAATGATCGCCCGGGAAGCTGGCCGAGGGATACGAACGAGCGAAAGAAATTGTTTCCGTTAAAATGTTGTTTAAAACAACAAAAAAAAGAGAGAGAAAATTAGGGCAATTTTTCCTCCTCGATGAGAATTTTTAACACCGCTGTGCATGGAATTATCGCCTTGAAGAACTATTCGTAGTGATAACAACGACGGTTCGTGCCGATATTCCTGCACCAAGATCAAAACTTTATCAGCAACGCCGTTCTTTCGCTAAAATTGGAAATGTCTCTTTTTTTTCTCCTTCATTGCGATACAGCGAAACAAGACCAGTTGAGCTTGCACCTCTTGCCCCCTCCGAACGGTGATCGTCTTTCCAACTTTTGCAGCTTTCCGCGGAATCCGCGAAGAAGCGGAGGAAGCTCCCCCAAAGCTACCCTTAATTTATCGCGAACAATAAAGCTCGAAAGTTGCTCCCGATAAATCGCCAAACGCAGGCGTTCCCGCTATCAATTAACCGGCTCCATTAAAAAGCTCGGCAAAACCTATCACCCTTCTCCCCCCCTCCCAAAACAATAATAACCAATTAAAAACGTCCCCGGTTCAATTTTTCCCGAGTTTCGCACAACTTGCGAAATATCCGCCCGTCGGTGGAGTCGCAGCTGGTCCGATTAGCGCGAGAGACGCCCCTCTGATAAGGGGTTGCGCAAATTGAGGGCGACCGTCCCCTCCTGGAGGGGGGGTTTCAAGGAAGGCGGTTGCTGAAATTATAGTATCAATAAAGTCAGCCTCGGCAGAAGGTGAATTAAAGTCTCCATAGGCCCTCCTTTAGAGTCCCCCCGCCCCCCCAAAAGGGACACTTTAAAGGCAAACTATTAACCGCGGGAAACTCCCCCAAGACCCGCCGGTTGGCATAATTATTGGCAGCGGCGCGAGAACCGGGCAATCTTGGGCTTATCAAGGGGGTTGGGGTACGGGGGGGAGGGGGGGGGTGGAGCTTTACGGACGTCGAAGCTCGGAAACTTTAGCAAATGGATACTTGGACGGTTGGCCGTTTTCCGAGTCGGGAAACGACTTTGCCGCGCGCGCGACGTTTGTACGGCACATTTTGTCGTTGTCGTTGTCGTCGGGGGTAGGGGGGGGGGGGGAGGGGGCAGCTGCGGCCCGGCACGAAACGGGAGCAATATGGAGTTATATCGAATCCCCGATTTGAGTGCCGCAGGGTACGAGTTCTTGCAGGAAAATGAAAATAGGAGTAATGACAATTACCCCCCGTCCACCGCCATCATTATACATTTTGAAATGCAATCGGAGTAATGAATCCTCTTCTCGTGGATTGATATGAAAATTGAAAAGAAGAAGAGGGGGAAAAAAAAAAAAGGAAAATTGGAGGACGCGAATTTCGATCCCTCGACCCGACTCATCGAGAGGCCGATTTGGGCCGGGGATATTTTGGGGGGGGGAAGTTTGGACGCCGGAAACCGGAAGGTAGGGAGGCCCCTCCCGCCGCAGGATCGTTGCGCGTGATATTATTCTCGGGGCGGTCGTTAGTTACTAGAAGGGGGGCGCGGGGGGGAGGGGGGGGCGAAGGTATATGGTCGATGACAAGATTTCATTAATTCCGAGGGGAACGAGGGGCACTTTCGGGTGCATTTGCGCGCCCGGTGGTGCGGAATAACTTCGAGGGCCGACCCTCCCCCCTCCCCCCTCCCCCCCACGTCGCTTTCTCTTCCCGAAGGGAGTATCGCCGCTTTTCTCGCGGGATAGCGAAAAAGGGGGCGGGGGATTGGGGGTTCTTAATAATGGAGGCAGCAATTTGCTGTAAAAACGGGGAGGGGGAGGGGGAGGGGGCGGCTTCAACCTGGCTTGCCGTCTCTCGGTCTCGGGACTCGGTTCAGAATCCCCCCCCCCCCGTCTAAGGGCCCCTCGTTCACCCTGAGTGTCCCGATCTATCAATTGGCTCAACGAGATTACGCGGAATTTCCGGGATCGCGCTCTGCTCCCTCGATGTTTAATGCCCCCCTGTTCCTGTGGGTGGGGGGTGNAAGCTTATTTCCCGAATAATACTGGATAAGGGATGGCACTCTTAATACTGGGGGTGGGGGTGGGGGTTGGGGTTAAATGCCCCGATCATAACTTTGCTGGGACCCTGCGGTGGATCGTTCGACTGAATTCGGGGATGAAGTGCGTCGTTGCTCCTTATTTTTGCGTTTTAGTGGGGGGGGGGGGACCTCGAACGGGAAATATCACCCACAGAGGGAATGGCGTACGTGAGTTTTTGCATGTCTTCCGGTTATGTAACTGAATTTTTTACTGCCCCCTGGTAACGCCGCGTCCCCGCGGCTTTACGACGCGTGGGATGGAAAAGTCTTCCGAACGACGGGCGGCGGGTGGAGTGCGATGGTTTTTCGTTTTTTTTTCATTTTTTTTTTGGGGGGGGGGGTTGTTTCGAGGAAGTCTCTCGTTTTTGTCCTATTTTTTTTTGTCGGGGAAGGGGTGGGATAATTGTTGGGAATTTTCTTACGAGCACTTCCGGATGCGGAACTTTCGCAAAATGTCCGCCACGGCAGGTTGCGCCAGGTGAGGCAGACCAGAAATTTAGTTCATTTAACAAAATCGCTCGATTGCGTTCGGTTAATTTCGGACAACGTTCCGGTTGAGCGAACCGAATTTCCGTCCGCTCGGCGAGACTCGTTGGCATAATTCGAGCAATTAAAGTATTTCCGTCAAGTCGTTGCGTTGATTTAGGAAATGTTTAATTTACGAATTAACGAAACACTTCTTAATTACCGTTCGAAGAATATATCTCATCGCTTCGATGTACTTCTTCCTCGGGGCATGATCTCATTAAGCGGATTCACTTCCGCCTTTTCTATACGTTGATTTTTCTCGACTTCGGACATGGGGTTTTTAGCGGAAAGGGTTGGTTTTCAATTTCACCGGAGATTTAGGGAGTAAAGGGTGAAGAAAGTCCCTAGGGAGGCGGGAAGGGCTCCCGGGGTCGGCGGCGCGCAAAGGGAGGCCGTCGCCCTCCCCCCGGGGTCGGCGGTGCGGGGGAGTAATATACGAGAAGTCTCGGGGAAACAATGCGGCGTCGTAGATCACCCAAGACACCCTCCATTAAAAATATTACGCCATCTTGCCCGTATAATCCCCTCGGTGCCCCTCCCCCCCCCTTCATGGCGGCCAAGACAGATCCGAATGACAATGTACCATTGTCGAGGCCGTGCCTCCCTCCCCTGGCGCCCTCGAAACGTCCCACAGGGACGTCTATGGGGCGTCCACGACGCCTCTTAGGCGGCGATTTCACCCCCCCTGTGAAAGTTTGCCCCCGAGTTTGGAGCTAGAGAAAACGACACTGTTAAGGGTGGGCTCTAACCTTTTGAGAGGCACCTTCGCCTCGAAATAATTTCGGCCGATTTTCTCGAAAGTTCGTGGCTTCTCTTTAAATTTATGCCCCACCCCCTTAATGGTTAAACCGGGGGCAGGGGGGATACTAAACCCTTCGCTCCTGGCATAATAACCGGAAATGTATGCTTTATTAATTTGCTTACCTATCGCGAATGTTGAAAATTAATTTTTTTTCAATTATTAAGGCGGATGCAAGGGGTCGATTCGTTGGGTCATTTCGTCCTGTGAATTTCCTTCTCCCTTGTGCATTAATACGCGGAGTTAGGGAAATCCGGGAAAAGTGGAAAATCGTGGGGCTGCGTCCGAAAGGAACGCGCTTCATCCCCTATCCGCGGGTTATTTCCTCGTGGATATTAATTATTAAATGGCCGAGGTGGAAGCAAAATGTCGGCCGGCTGCGGAACAATGCCAAAATGGCGGGGGAAGGGTTGCTCTCCGTTCTCCAGGGGTGGAAATGGGGCGGGAAAAATGGAACTTCGAGGGACTCGAGTTGTGCCTTAACAGGAGCTATCAGTGATCAAATATTTCCCCTGCCACCCCATGGGGTGAATTTTCAAGGCAACTTCTTCGTCCCCTTGTCACCTAGTCGCTGATCCCGCTAATAGGGGATGACACCCCTTCAACTCGATTTTTTCCGGGCCTCGAGACTTCAGGATATTTTTTTCCTCCCGCTGCTGAGAATTTTCCCCGCGTGATAAAAAAATACCCCCTAGAAGTTTTCAGATGGAACGCATACGCGCGTTCGGTATAAAAGTAGGGTTATGTTCTTCCGTTATGGGACGGGGGTGAGTTTTTTATGGACGCACGCAGGTCGCGTGGGCACGCCGTGACGTCGTAAATGGGAACACGAGGGTCAAAGTTTCTACGGGGAGGGGGTGAGCATCTGGTTGCATGGTGCACCCCCTACAATTAGGATTTTGCAAAAGCAACCCCCCCCGACTCCCTTGTCCGATGTCCAATTATTTTTCCCGCTCTCGACGCGCACCAAAGGGGAGTGAAAAAATTATTCCCCGCGCGATTCGGCGAGCTGTTTTTCCCGTTCTTCGGGGGCTGTTTTTCTTTTTTAATTCTCTATTTATCTTTCCTTCGTTTCATTAAATTATATTTCTACATTTCGCTTAACTTGCATTAAAACGAGACCGGAAGAAATAGATTCCGTCGAGGGATCACCGAAATCGTCGAAAAGGAAAAAAAGGTCGGGGAACAACGGAGGGTGCGAATCGGTTTCATCCCCTGGCGAGAGATTGAACCTTCAAGGGTAATCGCGGAGGGGAGGGAAGGGTGGAAATTTCTTTTCTCGAATCGCCAGGAATAAATCGGCCCCGTCACGCACTCGCAAAATTGCGTGGGGGTAAACACCCCCCGCGACACACCCCTCCCATTTAACGCCCGTTTCCATCGGTTCAATGTTTATCGAGCCGAGTGCAAAATTCGCTAAATAAATTCCGGACTCGACTGGCCATTTTCGCCGGTGTAACTTTCGATTGACTGGATATTCAAGGTTTTGTTGTCGCTCTCGCGTGCGGAACCGTTTGACAAAATCGAGACGGGGGAAAACACCCCCCCGACGAGGGTTGATTTAATCCCCCGTGAAGTACCTCGAAAGCCATTATTATTACCGGATTTCGTCTATACAAAACGATATTAATTTTCAATTCTTCCAAAATTAATATAAAATTACCGTGCTCGAGGATTTTCGCGTTTACTAGAAATACATTATTTCCGGGGGTGGGGGTTGAAACTGTGCGTTATCAAAATCGCAATTAACTTTTCAGGACAAAATTGAGACGAGGGGAAACACCCCCGACGAGAGTCGATTTAATCCCCCGTGAAATACCCCGGAAGCCATTATTATTACCAGATTGTCTATACCAAATTATATTAATTTGTAATTCTTCGAGAATTAGTATAAAATTACCGCGCTCGAGGATTTTCGCGTTTACCAGAAATACATTATTTCCGTGGCAATTGAAACTGTGCGTCACCAAAATCGCGGAAAATTTTTCCCGAGGTACCCGTCAATTGTCCACAGTTTGTCTAGTTTATTGTAAAAATTTATATAAAATTATTACATACACGAAGTCTCACGAGAAATCCGTTCCGACAGAACCTAGAGCACGACGTCATCGAAATCGGCGCAATTCATTTTGTCGCCGGTTTTCCAATTTCCATCCCGATTAATTAATTAATCGGATTAATTTTTCTCGAGGCGGGATTAATGCCGGCACTTCCCACGGTCCCAAAAATCGATGCTAGCCGCACATCTCTGAAAACCCACCCCATTCGTCTCTCTCACCCCTTTTCAAACCCCCGAGGGGGGAGGGGGAGGTTCCTTAAAGTTTCGCCCCTCGGCGTGCAAATGCCCCTACGACTCCCACCCCCTCGGGGTGCTTTAAAGCTTTCACGGCGATTGCTTTTTCGGCCTGACCGTCGTTTGTTAAGCTCGACACCCCTCGAGAAATCATTGAGACGAGAGAAAGATCACGGGGGGTAGGGGTGGGGGTGGGGCACCACCCGAGGGCCCTCAACCCACCCCCCCATTTTGCATCCGGACATTAAGGGAGAGGGTGTCGATGCCGAATAAGGAGAAATCTGGAATAGCTTTTAAAAAAGAGAAGAGAATTAAATCCGCGAAAATTCAACGAGCCCTTTAAGGGGATGCGAAAGCAGTCGATTCGAAAGAGGCAATCTTTTTGAAGGGCTTTCCATTGGTCTGGCTGAAATTGTATAAAATGGCTCGTGGGTATTGAAGGAATGTCCCGACACTTTGAAAATTTGTATTAAACAAAGTAGGTCAAAGTTTCTTGAATCGACTGGATTGGGGGTTTCAGATCAGCTTAATGACAATTGTTAATAGATTTTCAGGAGGGGTTGCGTAAATTGCGGGGGCAGTTTTGACCCACCCAATGATCGGCTCCGGTGTGGCCGGGTCGGGGGTTGTCCGGGTTATGGGGGGTGGAAACGCGTGCTGTGGCATCAAGGGGAAGAGGGCGACGATGGGGCAAGCACGGGTCATGGGACCTGGGGCTCACCCCCGGGGGCTGCTACACGTTTAATTAACCTGCGTGGACGCGCCAACGGAAACCATGACCTGGGCCAACCCCATGCATCCCCTGCGACCGGAACGCCCAGGACGATGTCCTCCGATCCTTCTGCGCCTCGTGTATCGTTAAAGCGACTCGCGAATGGCCGTGTTGGGGGTTGAAAAAAAAAAATGAGGAAAATAATCAATTCCATGGGGTGGATCACTCACGTTGGTGGGGACCACGCTGGTGGGACTTCCGGCCGCGTTCCCATGGGTCTGGTCGGTCTTCAATTCCCTATGGTTACTGAACTGCACGTAGACTGCTCGCCCCCGTAGCTGAGCGACGCAGTTGGCGTAGTACACCACCATGGTGGCCGCTGCACCCTCGTCCGCCATCTCCAGGAATGCCTGAAAAAGTGGAGGGTAAATTTATGGAAAAAAATCTTTCGGGTTAATTTATTTCTACGTCATTTTTTATTCGAGCTCCTTTTCGGGGGAGGCGCGCGCCCCCCTTTTGAATAAGAGTGTCGAAGCTGCGAAACGCCACCTCCAGATTCCCGGACTCACCCCCAGCCCTCGCCCCGTTCGGCCTAGTTTCTCCCGGATTTCCTCGGATATTTTCCTTTCCCGAGTCGGCACTTCGCCGCTCCTTAATTAATCTGCATAATTTCCCACTTTCCAGCCTGCCGAGGCGCGCTCGTCCACACTTTCCTCCCCCTTTCCAGCTCGAGACGCCCTTTCTTTCGCCCCTGATGTTACATCGGCGTGGATTAAACTCCCCGGATGCTGGGGGTCCATAGACAGTCGATCTGCAGGTCCTCCCCTTAAATCGCGAGGAAAAGCCTCAAGTGCTTTCAAAAGTCAAACTTTCAAGTCCTTCAGGAATATAAAAAAACATTTCTAAATTATTAAAATATTTGAAAAAAAAAAAGAAATCCCACACCTGATAAGGGATGATCTCGGAATTTCCTAAGATTAAAGGGTAGACTTTGTTTCTCGATACATGATCCAGCGGCTGTTTTGGATTAATTTCTGGGAGTGAAGTTCATTTTGGGGAAAATTAAGGGGTGCGTTCAGGGGTGGGTGATTTAAATCTCAAAATTGAGGTTTCTTTTGGATTAATGGGGTAAAATGCGAAATGTAGAAGGGGTGGCTGGGTTTGAAAATCGAGCCACTATTAAGGAGGTAAATGGCGACATGGGGGAGGGGTGTCTAAGGGGTGTCTGATCTAAATTCCAAAATCGACACTTCCGGTCTGGGGAGGCGCGAGACGGAAATCCTGTCTGAGGAGACGCGTTAGAGCTCAGGCTCGATTCGATCTCTGATGCGCAGGGGTAGTCGGGGGTGGAACTCCAGCCCTCAAACAGAGGGGTGCTCCGCTTTCGGGATTTACGAGCACGGTACTTAGAGAAGGCCCACTCCTTCCCTCAGGAAACGGGCGAAGGAGCAAAGTCGTCCAAATTAACGCCGCCGCGAAACGAGAATTAATACCCGAGCGGTAAATTCGCCTTGGAGGGGGTTTCATCTTTTTTTGGAATTTTTCCAGAGACCTTGAAGACACCATAAGTTGTCTCGGCGATAAAGACAGAAAAAAATGTCTTAATAGTGAAGACATCGAAAAAAGTCTTAATGGTGATAAAATTGCAAAGGGTCTTAAAGCGACACCCATGGAATTTCAATTTTTTAAAATTTGTATCTAGACATTTTCAAATTAAAAAAAATAATAATAATGAAATTTCATGGGTGTACGGACCTTCCTTATACTTTCCAAGTTCACGAAGCAAATGTCTGAAACCATTCGGTATACCCAGTTCGAAGGAAAGCTTCACGAACGATTGATACCTCAAAGGCCACTTTCATGTCACCTTAAAACAACCAGAAATCCCCAAAACCAGGAAACCACAAATTCTCGTTCGGGGGCTGAAGTCTAAAACCAAGGAAATGTTATACTCTCCCCCGCTCGTTTTTCCCGGAGAGCATGGAAATTGTGCAGGATCGCCTAAGAATGGAAATCGGGCGGTTTCGCCGCGGCTGTTCCTGACGGACCCTGCGGCCTCCGGTTTCCCGGGGGAATCTCGCCCTCTTTCGGGGGTACTTCGCGAGCAAACGATCCCTGGGCGAGTCCCTCGGGACTCCGCGATCCGAGAGAGGGGAGACGCCGCTTTTTCCAACCCTGAGGAAACGGGGCAAGTCGTAATGGAATATCCGAGGGTTACACGCCGAGAGCAAACACCGGCCTCGGGATTCCATTTTAATTACGCCCCCTTCTAAAAAAATCCTCACAATTTTTCCCCTCGTTTCTCCGATTTCTCGCGCATACGCAACACGACGAAAATTCGAATTCTACGAGATTCCTAGCGAGAAAAAAAGAATGATTAGCTGCACGCCTTCGTCCTCTCTAATCATGTTTCTCATATCTCGAGTGAGGTAAGTATCCCCCTTTTTTCATCCCCTCAGATTTTCGAAATTCGAAGTGCATCTCGTACTTAACATAACTACATATCCAGAGGGAGGAAAAAGCCGAGGCGGTTATCTGATAAAAAAACGTCATCGCGTTCCTATCGATTTCCGCGAATCAGGGGGTGGTGGGTGGGACCGGGGGAGGAAACGGAGATTGGGAAGGGAAACGACGTTCGTCCCGCGCATAAGATCGTTTCTGATTTTATGGAGCACTCCCAATCTGCAAAAAGGGTCCGGACGTAAAGTTTTCGAAAAGCGACCTCTCCTCGAAGCTTTTGACGGATGACACAAGGCAAGACCGAAAAGATGGCGCCCCGAAATACGAGCGAATCCCGGGTGGCAGGCGGCCTCGTAAATACGTATCGCATTGCATATTACGATCTGTGTACCTAGATAGCATGCACCTGAGAGTACCTGTACCGAGCCACGTACCATAAACTCGGATTGCAATTCATTTCAAACATTCGATCAGGGAGAGGACAAACGTAGCTTTGCCCCCGGATATTTATATTCCATGAATTTCGCAATCTTGGGGAATAAGGGATGTATAGGGATTTTGGATAGTGGTCCATCCAGCTTTGGATGCTGATTAGGCACGAGAGGTATTATCAGTCCAAGTGATCGAGCACCAGGACGCTATCAAGTCTATCTGCGTTTAAAATCCTTGCAGGAATTAATAAGGGTGAATTCATTGCTTTCTGGCCTTTGTCCTGAGATTCTCGCGAGAATAAGTAGGTACAGAGGTTAATCTGCAAATCCGGGATTCGTAATTAATTTCCTTTAAAATTGTTGTCAGAATTTATAGAGGTTAATCAGTACAGGGGGGATCTATCGGTTCGCGAATTTATTAAAAATTGCAATTTGCAACTCGTCGGCGAGCCCTGCGGGACCTGGCTGGGATTCTACGATTCGTTTTTCTTTGATTCCCTTACGATGTGCACAGAGGGCCCCCCCTGGGGAGGGGGCACCCAGGGTGCTCGTTTATTCGCAGGTGATCGAGTTAGCGGTGAATTTCGCCTCGGACAGGCGAATCGTCCTGGCCCTGACACAGGTGCGCGACACATAATATCCCGGACGAGGACCCACACGCGGCTCCGGAGGGCCGCGAGTTAACGCGATTAACGTGTTTCCCCGTAATGACGCATAGAGCGAGTGGAATTGCATTTGCGGATGCAGTCCGAGTGAATTTTCCAGGGATTCGAGGCGACGAGGGGCCAGCCCGGAAAGCCTCCTTTCCGCGACTTTTACGTGACGAATCATGCGAGAAACTGTCGGAAACACAGAAAGAGGTCTAGGGACTCTTAGGGTAAAATAATAAATCCCCTAGGGGATTGACAATTTTCAATAGGGTAGGCTCGATTAAGACGGGGGAACGAATTACTTTGGAACTTTTAATTTGGATTTTATTCAAGGGTGATTTTTAATATGGATACTTTAGGAGGGTGGTAGAAGCACCCATTTGTCAAGCTGGCAGATTTCTCGGTTACTAGGTCGACAATATGTGGAAAACTCGGGGAAATGTCGGAAAGACGGCTGACTTCTGGCAAGTAATTGTGTTTTAGGGTTCTGGAGGGGTGGTTTGTATGGTGCGCCCTTATTTTCCGCCCCCTTGTCCGAGGGCGATATTAGACTGGATTCTATGGGCGGAATGTTGGGGGGCGAGCCACCCCCTGGAGTTTGGGCAGGGAACGGGGGTGTCCAGAAGTTTGGGGGTTGGTTGAACTCGTGACCAATCGGGGGATGAAGGATTTGACTCGTCCAAGGTCGATTTTACGGGACGTCAAGTCTTTTTTAAATGATGGAAAAACGGGGGAGAGTTAAGGTGGTACGAAAGTGTCATTCTATACGTATGAAAACGTCAAAATATTAATAAAACCATCCCCGAACTGGGTGCGTCGAACCACTTAAAACTTCAGCACGAGACGAGGTTCATAAAATTTAATTTAAAAAAAAAAATACATGTCCTTGGTACTAGTCAGGGAGAAATAAACAATTTTTATTACAAGAAAAAAAAATGCAATTTCATGTGCATTAATGCAAGCTTCAAGTGATTCGTTGCGCCCAGTTCGGAAAAATGTTTTATAAATATTTTAACGTTTTGATCAGGAAACTCGGCAGAGTTTCGCGCCAAATACATTGAAAAGTATGCGCGAAAGGAACATATATAAAGTGACACTTTTGTAAAACCTGAAGTGGTCGAAAAAAAAGGGATGAAAGATGTCAAAGGAAATGAAATTGGATTTTATCCAATAAAATGGCAGCGCACTTGAGGTGCTGGTTGGTCTTAACCGTAAAAGAGTCGACTTTAAGGGGTAGCGGGGGGGAATTACCCCTCAGTGGGCAGCGATTAGCGCTCGTTAAACCTTGGGTTAACTTTCGCGCGAATAGGGCGAAGGGCACCCCCGAAAAATGGTTCCACTATCGCCCCCTGCACATCTTCGCAACCCCCGGGGGCTCTTATTAAGGGCGGCCCTGTCTAGGGTTCCGAAACCGCCCTCCCGGCTGACGAATGCTCCAATTTCGACGCCCCTCTGTTTCCGCTAATAATATTTCCGCCCCCCGGCGCCCCCTCGGGTCCATTAGCGGAAACATCGTGAACACGCTGCGCCGCGGGTAAGGGGAGGGAAAAAAGCCCAGGAGAAAGAAGTGCGCCCGGGGAGAAAACCACCCCCTTAATTATCCTTTTTCTATTTCAATTTCGCCGCGGCGGAAATACAATTACGCGCCCTGGGCGGATTGCTCGGATTTACCTTTCCTCCCTCTGAGAAACTAGGGCTTGCTTAAGTACGTCTAGATATAGTTCCGCTAGATCCAAACTTTCCGAAATCCTGAAACGAGGTGGTCTCGATCTCCACGAATTTTCGGGCTGTTTTCATCATTCAGGGAATAATTATTTCAATTGACAAGTTATTCTCTTAGACGCCATTCAACCACATCATTACCATGTC